CTCAATGGGAGGTGTGGACAGTCGAATTGGAGTCTGTCCTCGCTGAGCCATAGTCAAATATCCAATTCTGAAAGAAACCCCATAACGAATGCCAATAAAAAGGTGGATTTTAGTTTCATGCAAACAACAGACCTGGAATTACTCCTTAGGAAAAGCTGATTGTACCTGATGATTGTACCTGCAACGGTCTGCTAATATCACTGTGAAGACAGGGAGGGAAGCGGTCTTTGACAGAATGGAAACAGAGCAGAAAGACGTCTGCCGATATGTGAACCTCAGGTCAAGGTTGAAACAGGAAATCAATGCGGCGTATTTGCAGATAGAAATACAGTGGCAGACGTTTGGCATTACACACTTTACCATTGAATTAAATGAGAAAATGTGTCCAAACTTCCGACCGAAACTTTACATCAAAGTGAAGGCAATGAGCCCCAAATGAACTCAAGCATAATGGAAAGTAAATGTTGGACAAAACGAGTGTCTGGTGGAAACATTTACTCACAGCATCTTGCAGCATTCAATATATAACTCAATCCTTTAGTATGCATTTAAATTTAGAATATATTACAATTGTAAAACGTAAAAAAAAAATTTTTTAAGTAGGCACATTGTCAAGTGACATTTACCAGGTCAGAATTTACATTTATCGAGCACCAAGAGCAGGTTGAAGAGGTGAGTCTAGATTCTCCTTTCTTCTTCTTCTACAAATACCCGCTGAGATCCAATTCTAGTGACGAGTACGGGGAGTAACATGGCAGCATGTCCGGCCACTCTGCCAAGACAGGTTGAGCAAAGGTTTACCGTGAACTCTGACCAGGTTCAAAATGTCATCGGGTTTCAAATTGCAAGCCTCAAAGCCTTGTGGTGAAGGTAGACTGGGCGAAGAGAAGGGCCAGAGATCGCTACCAATCAACTGCAACCTGAATCCTCCGTAAATCAAATAACCATTAAAAAACACGGCATCAATCCTCCCTTTATTGGAGCCGTCTTCCAAGAATCTGATGAAGTAACTTGACAGTAAACCCGTCTGTGGGAGAGACGCCCAATGTCAACAAAACACGAGATAGGATTTTAAGACAGAAGGAAATTGTGGCTCAGTTAGCTTATGGGAGTATCTAACTTTAAAAGATGTTAGTGTTTACTCAATAAAATAATCTTTACCTACAAAATAAATGTCCATTTAGCATTATTAGCTCACGCTTGCCATTGTTTAACGAAACATGATTCCTGTGAGCGTGTCAACTAGGGGTGTAACGATTCATTCACTGAATCGATTAATCGATTTATATTCCTGCGATCCAACTGAATCAATCTGTGCTCCGCAAATCGGCATTCCGGACGACATATATCGGTTACAAATCGATTGAAATGGTACATAATCGATTGTATCGATACTTGGAAACTGCACATTGGATTTCAGTACAAAAACGGTGTGGAGGTGTGTTTGTTTGCTTGTTTGTTTTTTAGCACTTTAGACGCGTTAAACGTTACTTGATTCAGTCTGCCTGTCTGTGACGTCATCAGTACGCAGCAACAGCCGCACGAAACTCTGAACAACAACAAAACACAGCGTGGAGAAGACGACTGCGAGCGAGACATTTACAAACTAACTTATCGATCCAGCGTGTGGAAACATTTTGGCTTTTGCAAACCCAGAGGTGTTCTAAATAAGTCGGTCGCTGTTTGTAGAATACGTAGAAGACAAATTTCTGGCCATCTACTAAGGCGCCGTGGGATTAAACAACGCCGACAGTCAGGACCTCTAGCAGCGTCACCGCTGCAGCAGCAGCAGTTAACTCAGCTCTGCAGACGCCTCAGGCCTCGCCAGCACCAAACTCAACATCACAGTAACAATTGCCAAGTTTATCTGTAAAGACATGCGACCCTACAATGTGGTTGTAAACCCGGGGTTCTGTAAATTGATCCAAACATTGTGTAATTATTGTGTAATGTTTACATTGAAAATGGCACTGGATTCAAATAAAAGGTTAATACATTTGCCATCAATTGTTGTTTGCTTGTTGGTGTAATATCCATAATTAATTTAAACCTGATTTCCTTACAAGAAACAACAGGGATCTCAGAAACTTTGCCTGCACTGTCCAGTAAAGTTACTGAATCAATTTCAAGTCACTGTATCGAATCGAATCGTTCTAAATTAACCCAGATCGTCCATGAATCGAATCGTGATTCGAATCGAATCGTTGTTAAAATGAATCGTTACACCCCTAGTGTCAACCTTCCATTTAACCTAAAGACGTGTGCGGTTCTTTGACAAAGCTCGTATCTAAGCCCGTGGCGCGCGGCCAGAATCCATTTTCTTTCTCTTTGAGCTGGACGCCACCAAAACACCATCATCAACAAGTCTTCACCAGCCAGCAGCTGAGCGCAGGAGCTTCTCTGCGGGCCGACAGGTGACGCTCCGCAGAGCTTATTGAGTTTGTGTGCACTTTTATACAAACAATTAAGCACTGATTTAAAACACACACACCCACACACACTAAAAAACACAATTTTGAAAACTAAATGAAACGCAGCTGACACGGCAAGCTGGAACACATGCTGTATGACATAATTGCAAGCAGACTGGAAGCGCTATTCAACACACACACACACACACACACACAGTGATTTACAACACACGTTAGAAAGAAGAGTAACACCCGTTTCTTGGACAATAAGCCCCCCCCCTTTCCTGTCTCTATGTAAAACACACCCATGCAAGCATGGAGACACACAAAAGCTCCATCAACCCTCCTAAAGTGGAAACATAAGGAGAGGAGCCGGAGACGTGCTTGGGCCACTGATGTTGATTGAGACACCGCGACAATAGTTCACCTCCTCGCCCTCAGCGTGGGGGAAATGAAACCGCTCTGCGCTGCTTCTAAATGCTTTGCAACTGCATGTCTGAGGTAGAAGTACAACAACTCCCAGGTAACCCTGAGAAATCGCTCTCGGTGGAACACACAGACATTGTTTTAAAACCGTGACCCGAGAGCAAGCATGTGGTGTTGAGTTCAGATGAATGCACATCTGCCCCGGGAGAGGAAATCAAAGCCAGCAGGATTGCAAATCAATCGGCCTGAGGCAGCAAAATTTTCTTCAAGTCCTTCCTGAAACAAGGAGGAAACTTCCAGAGAACGGCGAAAAAGATACACGGCGTGACGCAAAGGTCCTGTTACTTTCTCTGCAAAGGAACTCCAGTCAAATATTGGATTTGACGATTCAGGATTCTTTGCAGGACCGAGGCCGTCGCCATGGCAGCGAGCGCCACGGGAGCAGGATGTGTATGCAGACCATACCGCCCTACCAGAGGGAGTTAAATCCCGGGGCAGAATACACTAGCACTCGGCAAACCGTCGGCCACGTAGAACTTTTAGCAGATGGAACTGCACCTGAACCGACCGTTCATGTTTTCTTTAATATTAGCATTGAGCATTATGGAAAATTAGCCTGTAATCTAGTTCTCAGCAAGAAAACATTGCGCCAAATGAGACAATGGAAAAATGCAACGTTTTATACACACTGTATCAGCTGTTGTTACATTGTGAAATAAGTAATGCACTCAGGGGACCTCTATTTAAAAGTTACGTGCGCCTCGGTGAAGAGAAAATGGAATCACAAAAGAGAGATGTGTGTGTGTGTGTGTGTGTGTGTTAGAGAGCGAGAAGGCCGCTGCCTTCAGGAGGAAGCACCAGAGACGCAGGTGTCTGCTCCACTGACGTGAATCCATCACACTTCATCACTTCAGCGCTGAGAAGGCGAACTTGACAAGTCAGGTTTTATTTGCGAGCAGCTGGAAGGTTATTTTAGCGGTGAGGAACAGTGACACGTCAGACAGAATGAATGGACACACACACATACACACACACACACACACACACACGTTGAAGTCTTTATTTTATATGGACACGTGCATTTGTAGATTGGATTTCTGGTGTTGTGGTTCTGAAATTTGAACCCACCTCAAAATCAATAGCGGCAAAGTAAATGACTTCCTCTGTGGACACAATAGTATATAAAATAACTAGTGTGAGGAACTACATCTGTGCCTTCCTACTGTGCTCTCGCTTAAACTAATTTGATTAATTTAGCGGTTGGTTATTTCAAATTCAACTGCAATATCCAGATTTCAAACAATAGAGGGCATCATGCTTATTGATTGAAAAACTATCCAGAATTAAAGTATTGCTAATAGGATGTGGGCCTGAATCCATCAATGACAGCACTAAACACCCATATGCATTTCAGCTGAACTAAAGTGGTTCGGGGGTTTGATTACTCCTAAAGAAGACGACAAACTCAGTGAACATGCTCCATAACCTTAATCATGCCAATCCCCCCCAAGCGAAATGGAACTGTTGTTGTTAGCAACACATTCAGGGCTGGTAAACACATAACAAAATGAGGGCAACCAAAACAGAGACATTTCCCCTTTTTCAGGAACACCCAGAAAACAGCAGTCAGAAATAGAAACAAGCCGCTCCGGCTCCTTGTGACAGTTCAGTCAATGGTAAATGGACATCTTTGAATAGATGAGAACCGCAAAAGCCCTTAACTGAATCCCCCCGCAGCTACAGAGCAAGACGGGAGTCACAAGACAAGAAGAAACATTGGAACTAACCAACTCTTAAAAAGTTATAAAACAGTGGAGGGCCCTACGCAGAGGCAATAGCTGGTCCCTTATCAGTGGGCCAGATGCATAATGCCCCCCCCCCTATGAACTAGGAGCACATAAACATAACCCCCCCGTCAACCCGCGAAGCATTCGACACTCGAGAGGGCGGCACCTCTCTCCTGCACACAGAAAGCCACCCTGGACCCATTCACAGCTCCCGGATCCATTCTTCTCCAAAGTGAAAGCAATCTGCAAGGGAGGGAAGAGGCCCTCGGCTCTTTCCTTCAGCATCAAGCGACCAAAGCAAAACGTTTCCACACTCTCTTCGCCGTCATGTGGCCTGAACTACACGCATGAGACGGCGAGAACACATTGGACTCACGTGGTAGTTTATCCCAATCTACGTCCTCTTCCTTAATACTGTCAGCTCGGAGAAGATGTCACAAGTGCACAGTGGCAACAAGACAAGACGGCAGTGAGAAAGCAGCCTGGATGGTGGAGAACACAGCATCCATTATATCAGTCACAGAAGACACACACACACACACACACGCACAGCAACAACCGGCTAGCTTTGTAAAGAATTTGCACAACAAACCTGCTGGAAAGCCAGTCGGAGTCACGCTGCTGCCTGTGAGCCTCGGCCTCTGGTTGTGATCCACCTGCACTGCAGCGAGTCCCTCGGCTGTACTGCTCTCGCTCTAACACGCCTCTCCCATTGTAGCTGTGTGCAGCGCAGAGCTGTGGCCCGTCTCCCCTCTTTCCTTCACGCTCCTCCTCCTCCGACAATATCTCCCTTATCTGCCCCAGGAGCTGCAGAGGAGTAGCCAGCCTGTGATAGAAGGGGGAGGGTCAAAGCCGATTCAAATTCACACACGGGAGTGTGATGACGGAGATTTCCCCGCCCGGCGCTTCAGTGATCACCTTCAAAACTTCACTTTCATTCAATTTGTTCCATTCTTTTATTTTTAGACAAGAAGAGGGTCTCCGACAGGAGAGACTTTCCCTACGTTCTCTATGCTAAAAAGAGTCGTCCCCCCTCCCCATTATTCCTCCATCCAACACTTTCCCCGATAGCAGCTTAACAACCTCATGTGAGGAATCTCACCCCCACACAAAAGATTTAGGAGAAAGGAGGGAAGAGCTCTATGCACATCATGAATGAGTCAGCAGGCAGTTCACTTAACTTAGATTTTCTTTGACTCAGTGGGTCATTTTCCCTTGTTTCCAGTCCCCCCCCCCAAAACATACCGATGGTAAAATGGTAATTGTAGGGCATTGTGGGGACTCAATTTCATACCTAATAATCACATCTAAGAGGACACAGATAATGAATATGTTTCAGTGTGGCAATTTGTTGACACAGCAATAAAAAGAGGGGCAGAGGATTGACCTTGAATCAGCATGTGAAAGACTCACTCGCTGACTCCCCACTGACACTGCAAAGGTTCAGCAGAGGAGACGTCTTCCTCCCCGCTTCTTCCCTCCATGTCCTCTAAGCCTTCTGTGTGCTCTCACCAGACAGAAACATGGCCACTCTGTACACATCATTTCTTCTGTTCTTTTTAAACTGGAGGAAAGGCAGATATTAAGGGAAATCATTTTCCTTGAGATTTAGAGTAATTTAAATAATCATAAGCAGACATTTGACTTCCAATATGTATACAAGTGCTTGGTGTCTGTAATCAATTGTCACCCAGAGCAACAAACACAAAATAACCTTTGAAGTGGTGCATCCTTAAGACGAACGCTTGCATTTGGAGAGAAATAGGGAAGAGAATAATTATAGGATGCAAAATACATAAAAAGGTAGAAGAAGACAAACATTTCAAATCAACTATTGGAGCTGAGAAGGGTGGATTATGGTCGGACACAAGCTACTGCATATCTGTCGAACCCAAGCGGCCGGGATTCCCTGCTCACTGCTCGCTCGTCTGTGGCTTTCCGTTTGTGAAACTGCGTCCAGGGCGCGGAGGCTCCGCCCCCCCCCCCCCCGCCAGGGCTGAACGCACCGGACCTCCCGCACCGGAACCGGTGACGTTTGCGGTGTGCTCGAGCCGCGCGGGAAGAAGCGGCATCCTCGGTGATGTCGAGGATAACTGGTGTCGGACGGCTGGCGGCTCACGTTTTTTCAGCAGAGCCATCTGAGACCTGCACAGCTCCCCGTTGTCGTAGTGACGGGGAGACTCTTTAGGGGAAAACTCCCCCACGTGCATTTATTTAGCGGGAGATTAAAACCACAAGCAGCAGCACCACATCCACTGTGGCGGTGTCCCTGCGGCTCTCTCTCTTGGACGGTGCATACCTGTCCCAGAATAAACCTCGCCCTCTGGAGGCCCGGTCTAACATTAGAACACATTTAAGAGGAATGTGCGCAGCCCCGGCCATCTACAGGGAATAAAAGGGACGCGCGTCTCGATTATTTATGTGTGGGAATTGCAAGTTGTAACTTTATTACAACCTTAAAAAAAGCGTGTGGGGTAGATGGGAGTTAATAAGCACTTATAGGTAATTGTATATCCCAGCAATATATAGCAAATACAGTAAAGCAGGCTGAGCTTTAAAGCCAGTGTCAAGTTGTCACTGGTTGTGCTGGTTGGCCAGTTTGTGCGTACATATGATCCGTGAATAACATTTATAAGTTGTAAAATTGCTGTCAGTCTTAAGACACAAGCACAGAACTGCAGCAACGGCAAGAAATGAACCATAAATAGCGATCAGACGCGTGAACTCCGTGTGCGTGTCTGGCTGCATGTGTGGAACCAAGGGGCATTTTTCTGACTTCAATTGTTTGCGTAATTCTTGTTGTATCGGTTTGCGTTATTGACTGGTCCCCCTCCCTCCCCGTCCCCCACACACATTGATGCGCTTCGTGTGACCTCTGAGAACACCTGCATGCACCTGGAGCAGCTGCAGGGCGGGATTGACTTTGGCGACAGAGGGCAGCAGCGGGTTAAGGTGCAAGTGAAGTTAATGAGTGTTGCCGTAAGAAGCATCCATCAACGTGCAAACTGTCCTGTTTGCACTGTGCTCACGGTATTCACAGAATAAGAAGAACCTGGGATCTCGACGGAAAGTGTGATCTTATTAGGTTTCTTATTTCACACATAATAGGCGTTGACACAATACGACATTTAATAAATATCGGTTGCTTCATAAGAACTTATGACAAAACAGCCCCGAGCACACGTCTTCATTAATCATCTAAATTTGTATATTTGTCCCCGTTTATCCACAGAATTCGAGTCCTGAGGGGACGTCCAGGCACACTGTGGTGTGTGGAGACCCTTGCCCTACTTTCCATGGAGGTGGGGGTTTTCTTTGATTCCCCATGGTGACTGTAACGCCATGTGACAGAGGTGAACATGCCTTCCAGTTAATGATTCCATGTCTGAGTCAAGGAAGTCCTCGTTATGGTAAAAAAAATACACTGAGCGACGGGGACTTTAACCTCAGCGTGCGAAGGTTGCAGCTTGTTTGCGTAGCGATGCAGGCATGTTGTCCGTAAACCAGTCTAACGGCTACATTACTACTTGTGCTGGAAGTGTAATAATAGACTAATGGTAATTAATTGGTTTAGCACAAGCATAAAAGTGATCCACGCACATCAGGTCAGAGGACGGGGGGGTCTTGGCTGTGAAGGCCCCTAACAGTCGGACAGTCACGACGCCCACTCCACTTCACGGAACATTTCCACTGCCGGAAGCCAGGTTGAGTCATCACGTTATTAGATACCGAAAAACACCAATCTCTGTAGAACGAAATAAGAAATTCCCCATGCGGCGCTAATGAAATTGTTGAGGACAGACCAGGATGAGCTATTGGAAAGAAAATAAATGTGTAATTATAGCTAAATAGGCTAAAACCAGAGACAAATAAATCCATTGGGGATCGTAAAGACTAAAACACAAGAACTCCAGGGGTATTTTTCCACTGGGACTGACCTGCTGTCAGGTCATGTCAGACTAAAACACCCGTCCCTCCCCCCCCACGTCCATGTCCTCCTCTAGTGTCATGAGGAGGCTCTAATGAATCAGCCTATTGAGGCTCAACTGTGCACAGGCTTCGACGCTGCCAAAGGGTGTGTGTGTGTGTGTGTGTGTGTGTGTGTTTCCGGTCCGACTTTCCCAGCCTCCCAGAACACAAAGCTGACGCTTGTGGCCCCTCAGCACTACAAAAGCACCACAGGCCCCCAGAGCTGAACGTGAATGTATGTACATCTCAGCGCAGGAGAATGTCATGTCTCTTTTACACCTGCGCATGCGTTTGTCCACATTCATCTGTCAATGTCAACGGTCAAGAGAAAAGTGGCGTTTCACCACCTGTTACGCTCCGGCTACCCTAGCGACTACACGCCTTTTATAGTTTCATTTTGCCCGCGTGGCCGTCCCCATGATACGTTGGTCCGCTGTATCAGTCTGTATATTGCATTGGCTTTAGAAGCATACGAGGCAAACATCACTGCCTGTATTTGACCAGCAGTTGATCAGCACTTCTCAGTACATTCCACAACGGCACTTGTTATCGTAAGACAAACCTTCAACTGGCAAAAGGAATTTGCAATGTAACTGTGGTGACTCCGCTTTTCCCAAACCACGTAGTGACGGCAGGTGTCCCTGACGTGGGTCGGCAGTAAAGCGTGAGAAATGTGACAGAAATCGTCAGGCGGGTTACGATGCTCCTCCTGTGACGGGACGCTTCACTCGTGGTCTGTGAAAGAGAAACCTACGGTGCGAATCGACACGCTTCAGCGGAAACTGACAATTCACTCGCACACGTCGATGAAACTGTTTAATATCACAGACTTTTCTGAGCAATGAGGTAGATTCAAAGGTTCTATTCTATTTAGCGTTTTAACAGTTTAGTAATCTATTGTAGGTCAAGCTGGTTTTGTGTTTTGATTGATGCTTCTTATTATTGAGAATGAGAATTTGATCATTGATGTTTTTTTACCAAGTTGTTACATACATAATGACATAATCATAATTAATACATAAAACATAATAAATACATAATTATGATATGAAACGCACGGATGGTGGCTGTTTTTTCGTACTCATCAACATGAATTCACAGTTAAGACTGTATGAACGTATCCTTTGTTTTCTTGGATGGCCAAACGGAACGTTACTTTTGTTTTTTTGCCGCCGCAAGGGACTCTGGGACATTAGTATCTTCTTTCCATTTGGTGAAATAAGGTCCAATGTTCCCTAAACTGAATGAGCTATTGAAGCACCTTTCCTTGGCATTTAGAAAACTCTAATTGTGGCAAAAAGGGAACGCTCGGCCGCAGCCCAAGTCTTCAACGTCAGGTTTAAGAAGCCTTCAAATCTACTCAGAGAGCAGGCCGACGATCCTATGAAGTCATTTTCCTTCTGTGCAAATGGCTTTACGAGCATCGTGCATGACATCAACGGGGCCAAGCTGCACGCTGAGGCCGTCCACCAAAGTCACGCCATGAGGAGACTTTGAACGAGGGCGAAGGGAGACGCTGACGGGTCTTTACTGTCCCGCGGAGTAGAGGCACGGCTGGTCCTACTGCAGGACGGAGAAGAGACAGCGAGGAGGAGCATAAGCTGACAGAAGGAGACGGAGGAGAGAGAGAAGGAGAAGACAAGCTTACCGAGGAAGCAGATGACCAGTGGAAACTTTGGAGCCAGTAAACGGTGCAGCAGTCATGCGGTTTTGTATTTCTCTTCTCTTTCTTTTTCCTTTATTTCCTTGGAACCCAGCTGGTCTTTTCAGCCTCCATTGTAACGGCCGACACCGTCCAAAACCTGAACTATGGCCGGCCCTTTCTTTTTCCCAATGCCTCATTGTATCTTTGTTACGTGGGGACACCTCAACTACCCGATGTGGTGCAGAGCGTTCTCTGCTTCCTCGCCGCCAACCTCCATCGTGGCCATTAGTCGTGTCAACTACCAGCCACCCCCTTTTTTACGGAGCAATTCAGTACAACCTCTTTGTGTCACGGGCCGCTTCTTTACTTCTTTACTTCACACTACTTAAGAAGAGAAAAGTGTGTTTCAGCTGGCGGACATCATGTTTTTGAATTGAAATCAGTGTGAAAGAGAGAGAGAGAAAGTCCAGCTCATAATGAGACGTGTCAGCAAGCAGGGCTGCATTGTCTCCCCCCCCCCCACGCTCTTTACGTTGAGATGAGAAACGCTTACAGAAGGTGACGGAGAAAAAGGGGACGCAGAGGGTGGAGGTAAGACGGGAGTGGAGGCGAGACAGGGTCAAACAGAAAGGGACAAACAGACGGGGACGTTGGGAACTAAACATATTTACACTAAAAAGAGAAAAAAACAACAAAAACTGGACAGAGAAGTTAAATAGAGAAAGTCAAACCCAAAGGGGCGTTGTCCTTCTAAAGCAGGGTTTCCTCTACCATGATATCATAGAGCATACGTCTGTGCATGCGCGCACGTCCGCCCAACACCCCCCGCTTCCCCACCCTCCGCCTCCCACATGAAGCTAGAAATCGGGGAACACACAAAAACGCCTCAAAAGAAGAAGACAATCATCCGTAGCAGTTTTAAAAACCACAACATGCACAGATTGCACAAAATAAAAAGCCAGAATCCCTCAAAATATCACAACTAAATTCATAGTTCATCGGTGAGCAAGCTGAGATGTGAGATGACTTTGTGATTGGTAAAGTCACTGTGAAACAAACACGGTTAGACTCTGTTTAACAGTTAAACATCTGGCCTAAAGCAGCTTGGAGGCTCGCCACTGACCAAGTTCGTGCCATTTGTCCAGGGCAACCACAGAGGAGCCTCGCTGTAGTTCTCGCCGTACCTTCGGTGCCCTTGGGAAACCACAAGAGGAGGGCGGCGGCAGGAACCAAAACACAACGTTTCGCCTCATTGCACATGAACCATTTTGCCGTTAGAAAACAAGTCGGAAAGGGTGTGTGTTTGACGCGTTCTTACCTCCCTGCGGCCTCCTCGCGTGCACCGCGTCTCGCCAACTGGGACAGAAACAGACACAGAGACGTCATTACTTTCTGCATCCACGTCCCCTGGCGGCGTTTACATCCGTCCACATTGCTCCATATTGAGGTGGATACAAAAACAACAACTTCTAAGGCGAGCAATAAAAACCTGTCAGTCAGATGGCTCCTACAATAAAGCCTGAAACCTTTTCATTACGCTCGCAAACTCCTGGTGCTCTGTAATTATACATATTTAACATTCTTTAATTTAATAATCAATTTAATGTGAGCCTGAACCTGTAATAATGTATTCATGTGTTTCTCCGCTGTACGACTCATCTACAGGAGGAAGCTTTATGGATGTATTTGAATTATGCTGCCCACACACAAGGACTCCACCATGTCTGGACTCGGCTCTGCCACTGCCCACGTGCACAGCTTTCTACTGGGGAGTTCACTCAGTACTTCCCGCTTCGGAGGGGGGGGGCAGTGCCTCCGGACCGTACCGGGGGGACCACAGCGGTCCGTGCCCTTGATTGTCATGTGTCCCATCTGCAAAAACACCAACTGTGTCAACAGCAGGGAGCGCGCAGGAGAGCCGGAGCGCTATTGATAGCACGCAAGACTTGTTATTGTCGAGGGTGCTGCGCCTGCATTCCATCATAATGATAACGGGACACTAGGAATTCGGGATTGGTCCAAAATAGCACCTAAAGAAGAAAAATAGGGAAGAATGTGTAGAAAACATCCAAGCATGTGACATCAGGTCGTATTTGGCAGAAAAGCCAATAGTTGGGCACTGGGGGGGGTTTCTGCTGCAGTCGGGTGAGAAGCTGCAAAGCACCCGAGATGTGAAAATGGCCCCAGACGGGTGGTTGGTGGAAACTAACACCTTTTATCCAGGTTGGTTTTTCCTTCAATTGTTCAGCTCTATGCAGCCATAAAATACAAAGAGAAAGCTCGTCAGTGAAACCTGAAGGGCAGACACAGGGATGCATTACAGCGTCAACAGTTGGACTCTGCTTGCTAATTCATGCACACACTTTCAGTCATGAGCATCAGTTTCAATTTCAAACGGCTCTTGATCGAGAGATTGTGGGTGGTGTTCACAATCACAGGGATGAGGGTTTGATGCTGGTGCTCAGGCCAGCGTACCAATGAGCTACAAACCCTGAAGCCCATTTGGCAAATGTCTTCATCGACACCCTTCGCTCAAGTCACTTTAGACGTCGGTCTAAACTCGTACAATATTATAAAAGAATCACGTTAAATATCTGCGTGCGTTCTCTGAACCGGAAAGGCTAAAAAGCTGAGCCACCACGATCGCTGAGCCTCGTGGTACTTCCTGCAGACTAACTATATAAATGACAATTTGGTGTAAATGACTTGGTAACTTTACAGGGAATCAATAAAGTTCAGCACCTGGTCCCGGGGGGAACCCGTCAGCTGGGTTCAAGCCTCTCAGTCTTGGTCTTCGGGCGAGATGCAGAGAGACAGGGGAACGCCAGCACAGTTACATAACAAGCTTGCTGACCGCTGCGGTGGCCACAGTGATTTGGTGGATGTGACTGTCCGCCTGCGCAGAATGCCTGCCCCCCCCCCCCCCCCTCACCCCCCCATTATATAAAACCCAGACAAATGTTATTGTGAACTAATGGTTGCGCAATCCATACTGGGGCGGGGTGAGGCCACTTCGAATCAACAGTAAGCACTCGGGGCCCGACGAGGGCGCGCCGGCTCTGAAAGGCACCGCCGCGGGACGGGGCGACGCTTCCCGTCTGCTCAGATCTGCCACAGCTGCACAACAACCCCGACGACTCGTCTTTTTCATTCCGTCGGACGGCTGTGGAGAGAAAAACGTGGTTCGGGCCATGTGGATCTCTTGCTGGTTGGAGACCTAATTCAGAGGAACGTGGGGGACGGCAGGCAATGCTCTCACTGCCGCTTGGGCCGAATCACGGAACATGTGACTTCAAAATTGAATGAGAATAAGTGAGCGAGGCGAGGAGGCGCCACCTCACGTCAGACAGCCAAGACGATTAAGTTGAGGCAAGAGCAAAAGCAGACGCGTGTGCAAAGGTTGTTTGTCGTCTCGGCGGCGGCAGGACAGACGCAGGACGGGACGGTCCGCCCGCACCGCGACCCGTCAGCTGGTGGGACGCGAGTCAATCCGCACGTTCTACACATACCTTGGTTCACCTAAATCAGCCTCTCGCTACTAGGGCGAGAAATTGGACTCGCTCATTTTTCTTTGGGTTCAAAAATGTGGATGTGGGCCTCTGTTGGATATAAGTCGGCTGTAAGCTTGCGGCCTTGCTGAAAAGCATATGGCAACAAAAGGCAGGATTTAGCTGGTAGCAGCTTTTAATCGCATTACTGTTGAGTCTGCTTTAAAGGGATGTGTGTGTGTGTGTGTGTGTGTGTCCATCTTTAAAGTACTTCTGGCCATACACGTCTAACATTAAGATATTAACTCCTTACACAATTGAATTGAATTACTGAAAATGAGTGGGAAAGGATGAAATTAAGTGTTCAGTAGCTTAATAATAAACAATCCAACTTATTAAAAAGTAAATGAATTAGCGAAGAGCTTACGGGAAAGAAAAAGGCCGAAAGGCCAAAAGATATTTTAACTACAGCTCACCTGACCCAGAAAAAGATTCTAAGTGCTGTGTACAGTAAACAACAATTTACTTCAATTAACATGTAGCATGAGATTGCTGGGTTAAGGCCGGCGAATGCTTCTGCGTTTGCGACTGCGTCGGCGCACTCGTTTCAATTCATGGTTCTGCGTGTGTTGCAGAGCAAAGAACAGGCGGAGTAACGCGAGTACTCGGCGTAAGTAACTTTATTGCCCCGTGCATCAACACTGCTGCTTTTTATCGCGGACACATTTGTCCCGTATTTTCCTCGCCAAACTTTGTGCACCTCTCGACCGGCAAACCGGCGTTTGCGGCGATCTCCCTCCGTGAATCCAACCCGCTTCTACAACCCGCCAATGACGGCTTGTATAAGCGCTCATGTTTACGCATTTCTTCAGAGAAAAGCTCTTAAATCTGATCCGTTCTCTAGTAAACATTCTTAGTTTTAATAATGGCGGTGTCGGGCTATGAAAGCGGAAATGTGAGACTCCGTAAAGGACGTAGTTAGCGGACCAATCGCAGCCTGGTGCGCTGCGGGAGGCGCCTAGAAAAATGGCTCGACACACGCAAGGACGCAAGGAGGTGTGAAAAGCGACGCAAGGGACACGCAAGGGGGGCTTGCGTCTGCGTCACTCTGGAAACGCAGTAGCATAAATCAGGCTTTACACACCGTACTCCTGCTGCTCCTGTTTGGCGTAGTTCCTGTGAAGCCTCACGGGTAAGATGGACACGTCGGATGTCATCTTGCTATGACTCACTGTTATAATTCACTGAAGAGAACAGACGAACCAAGGACATAATAATAATGTAGCAATGCTAAAGTATGAGAAATACACTCGCTCAGGTCCGGAATACAGCCAACGTGCACGCACACGCACACACACACACACGCACACGCACACACACACACGCAGAATTTCTCAAGAAACCACAGCCCTTCACAACACAAGACATTTACTTCATTCTGCTGGCCTCATTTCACAAGGGGGACCCTACCTATAAACATACACAACTTTCCACTTTTTGTTCCACTGTGTAACATTTACTTGGAGAGTTTGTCGTGTGGACGGGAAACGCCATATTAGAAGACGTAAGGTGAAAGTGAAAGGTCAAGTGTAAATATGGAAAAAGTCAAATATGATCCAACACAGTAAAACCTTTCCAACTGACCAAAATAAAAAGAAGGTCACTTATGAACATCTGGCTTTTGTCTTCAGAGAGAAAAGTAACAATCAGCATGGACAAATGTCTCCACAGCACTCAAAGGTATTCGTTGGCTCCAGCGCAGCCGAGCGATAGAAACATTCAACCCTCTCAGACTCAAGTTCAGCGCTGGAGAGTGTTTTTAAATCAGTCGGCAAGGAGCCTGAATAAGTAACAGGCTGCGTTACCAGAGTTCAGGCCCATTAAACACTCCCTTTTCATTTGTCTTCTTAGTAACAACAACTTATACCCTACTAACGTAAGCAGGCAAACAGGTTGAGGGTCACGTTCGGCCTTGCAGCGGCACCTCCGCAGCTGATACCGTATCGGTGCTTTGCTCAAAAGGCATTCCAGCTGTGCATGAGTTATATGCTGGTTCGCTAATTAGCTTAGCAGCTACAGCTAGACTGTTTTAGAGGAAAGTCATACTGTAACAGGCTGGAAATCTTTTGGGACGATTCAAGCAGCAGAATAAATCCACCGTCGACCTGATGTTTCTATAAGTATCCAGCCCACAGACGGGCGAGTTAAACGGACCACATGCCTATTTGTCATCTGTCCCACAAAGTGTCATGTCCCAGAAGCCATGAAGCACCAGAACGAAGCTCAGGCCGATGACATCGTCTCCAGGACCACACCACCTCAGTCCCTTTGACCACAAAACGGATGACATCACCCACCAAGCTTGTGTTGGCCCATAAAGGGCAGGGAGGCCTGTTGTGTGCGTATATGACATGGCCTTGTCCTGCGCGTTGAGACCTCCCACCCCACCAAACAAAAGATGGGTCCCTGCTGAGGCAAAGGAAATACAGCCTGTCGCAAACTTCCCATGCAGAGAAAGAATGTGACACGACAGCAGGCCCATCTGACAGGGTATCTCCCCCCGACTCCGACCAGACACATCCTCCGTGGAAAGTGTGTGTGTGCGTGTGTGTGTAAGGTGAAAATGATAAGGCGGAAAGGGTGTTTGTCATGAGAGTCAGTTTTCAAATGCTATGGGGAAAATCAGATGACAAATAGTTATTGTGTTAGAGGAAACATAGAAGCAGGTGCTGAAAAGATTAAAAAACAATAACATATGCCCATTACATCTGTGTACTATGCCCATTACATCTGTGTACTATGCCCATTACATCTGTGTACTATGCCCATTACATCTGTGTACTGGAGTTATTTCACAACTTCATTTAG